CATTACTGACTTTTCTCGACTAAAGTTTAAATTACTGGCAAAGACCTATTGACTTACACGTCATGTAATATTTGATCCGTTATGAGACTGATAAAGGGCAGGGGAATTTCAATGACAATATCTCTATTTACATAGGCCAAGATGTATTCTTTATGTCGGAATGAAAATGTTCTAACAATGAAAATCATAAGATGCTGGGTGAAAATCGCATTCAGACTGTTGTGCCAGAAAGCTTAGAAGATATCAGTGGATGTGTGCTCAAAGGGCGCCTTTCAACTCAGACAGCTTTAGAAATCTAGGCGCGAGTTAACATCGGTAGAAGAACAGATGTTACGGGATCAGAAATAGTCTGGCGATATTGAGTGTGTGTTAAGTGTTTGCCGATTATACAACCTTCCTCGTGATCTACGGGGATTCAAGATTATTTATCTATGGACGGCCACAGCTGTCAATTGAAGTGCATCTGATTGAAGAATCCATTGCGAGTCAAAGAAAACGAGATGCAAACTCGGTTGGGCGCAGTCTCACCAGGGCATGTTGACATAATCCAGCTGGTTGCGAGTTGTTCACCGGCGCTACTCTGTGGCGTCACTGACCCCCGGCAGCCTGCTTGGCGGCTGAGTAGGTCACAGGTGCCGTTGGTATGGTACGTAAGACCGCCACAGATCCCCGGTCCCATCCTCGCGCACTTGATCGCGCAAGTGTTCTTGGAGGTGAGCTGACTCGCTACAGTTGTAACATTCCGACTTGAGATTCATTCAGTTGTAACATTCATTCCGACATCTCCTGACTTGAGACGGACCCTCTCTTTGTTGGCGATGGACCCTTCCACGCCCAGATGCCCAGAAATGGGCCCTTCCTAGCTTTAAAAGGTAAGGTGGGCCCTTGCAAGACCTGGAGTGGCGATACGTACCATGACACCGTTTTTACGAGCAGTTATGAGCGTCAGCATTTAAAACTCATTTGGGCTAAAGGCTCCCAGCAAAAACCGGCGTCCAGTGTTTCTTACTTAAGTCCGCGCCACCTTTTATGAGGATTCTACTTTTACGAGGCGCTTGGATGTCCGTTCAGCTCATGGATTGCTCCTTCAGTCATCGGCGTGCTTTTACGCTGCGCCTGTCAAATCTTGAAAGACATCTAATTTGGCGTTATGCTTATGCACAATTCATCGCCTCAAAGAAAATCGTAAAAGCTTCAGCGAGCAACGGCGGAAATCAAGACTGGCTGTTAAGAACTACTTCGGCATGCTCCAGACGCAGTGGCGACGTCGGACAAGCTGTTGCCATCGGTTCAAGCCTGAGCCAGTCGGCATCGTTTTTTTGTGCAGTCACTGGGTCCTTATATCTTATCAAAAACATTATCTAAACAAAAACATATACGAAAACACTGCTGCACAGACCTTAGTGTGACGTGGACATTCATAGCATATTTGAATGCACACAAAAGTGCATGTGCTACATTCTTTTTCAGAAGAAATTTCAGAGGTAATATTGCTGTCAAAACCCATGGGAGTAAACAAACGGCCCAGCCGCAATGATTCTGTGATCACTATCTTACCATTTTCGCTTCGTCGCTTCTTCCATCCGTCATGCAGAAATGAAGTGACGGCTCAATGCGACGACAGTTGGCCACGGAACATTGGCCGCGTAGCTGGGCCATTTGGGTCGCATAACTGTATGGCGTTTGGTAACGCATCCGACTGACGGCACTCCTGCAGTGCAATGGCGCTGATGGCGCGAATACAATGCAATGGCGCAAATGCAGTTGATGCGTCCCTAAAATAGTAGAAAGACAAATATTCGACCGGCGGAGCATCGCCGCCACGGGCAAACGTGTCCCATTAGCTCAAGACGGGAAACATGAAAATTCCGCACTTGCGAAAAGTTGCTGAAATGCCTGGCAGAACCCTGTTTATAGTTGAGAGAGTGGTGGTCGTCTTCGTGGGAGTGCTTCACATTTTTATGATGATTTGAACGAAGATATCCATATTGAATCTAATTAATTGAGACCAACTGACAGCCGTTATATCTTAAAATCGCGCTCACGAACGCTAGATAAAACCTCGACAGTCAAATTTTTGGTCTTGGTCACCGCGTGGCCCATGAAACGGCAAGATTTGAATGACGTGATCATGCCATGAATGTCAAGGTGCCTTTAGAATACTTTTCCCGAAACACTCTCCCCATTTTTGCGGGCGTGAAGCTCAGAGACCAAAGGGGTTTATATCTTAAGAAGGGCAGGGCTGTGAACAGCACCGGAAGGTCTTCAAGACGGCTATTTCAGTTCAAAGCCTCGTATAAATGTGGAACACTCCCTCTCAGTATTCCGGGGACGCATGGCAGCAGATGCGCTTTCAAACTTCAAGATCACACCATGTCTAAGCATGCTTCTTACCATAGTAATGTTAATTCCATGCATGAACGCCCGGCGGTTGTGCATGACAACTGGCTGAGGGGCTTAGGTATTGCAACACTCTCCTCAAAGGGAGTGTTCCACCTTTGACGCATATTTTAAAAACATACTCTGGTGAACCTCAGCACCAGTCACGCCCAGCAATAGACCTGGGTAGTGCCACCGCAGCACCGTCAAAGCGTGATAAGGATATCAATTTTAATTTTCGGGTTCAAATTACGCCAAATTACAACTTAAATACGTATTTTGTAAGAACACTAAGGTTCATACCGGCCGTGACGACCGCCGTCGTCATGACAGCCATCGTGAGATCTCTACTGGTGAGGAGGAAAGAGCCGTTGTGGTTGGCCCGCCCGGCGACAACGGCCTGTTAGCGAAAGCACATTGGTTAAGTTTCAGCTAGCGCGTCACTATAAACCATGTAATTATCCCATTCCCAAAGTTTAGGCGCGTCTCGGAAAGATCTGGTGCGGCAAACGTCGTAGAGGAGATGACAAAGCCATTGTATAACGTTTCGTTGAAGTTGGGGAATAATAGCCACATGTTTGCAATGCCTTGCGTCCAGGGACTGTTTTTTTTTCTTTCATAACTTATTGTAGGTGTACATTGGTACCTAGTGTTAAAAGAGAGCATTGTACATCATTCGCCGTGTTTAAGGCGGAATAGATCATAAATAATCATAAAACAGGTAGATTCATGCTCCTACCTTCGAATGTTAATAATTACGATAGGGAGCTCCTGAGAGCCACACACACTCAACCGGTTCGACTCCCCCAGCGTCATTGCTGCGCTATCGTCGCGTGGTCACAACACCACTGCTCATCAAGAGCTATAAAAAATGTACTGGGCCAATGTAACAATAATAACGCAATGAAATTCGTTTCTTATCGCGTTTAGGTAAGTTTATGAAACAGACAGGCCAGAATAGACCAGAACATAGCCTAAACTAGCCTAACCTGACCTAACCTAACATAATCTAACTTAACCTGACGTAACCTAACCTAACC